TTTTCTAACGTCATCCTTAACAGAAGGGGTGATTTGCGGATTTCATGTAGTAGAAGGGCTGATTTGCCAGTGTTTCTTGTACAGGGGCTGAATTGCCACAACATTGCAGGTACAGGGGCTGAATTGCACCTTCTGCCACCATATATGCCCTATTCCCTACTCACAACCCTGTAATCCACTTATGTCAGGTTGCAGGGTCAATCAAATACCGGATAATAAGACAGATTTCTTATAATTACGAGCACAAGTAGGCTCCATGATTCTGGTGACCAAGACTTGGTTTCAAGTCTACTTGAGAAGGTTAAAAATGGAAGAGAATGGTAAGAGCAGGACACAAAGACATATCTTAATGCACTAATTAAGAATGGGATTTTCAAATCAATAATGAAAATGGGAACATTCTTATACATATAGATGGAAAATTCAAGCCTTTGCCTTACTGTAATCAGCTAAAAAGGTTATTAGCTTTCAACTAATATATTATGGGATTAGTCAGCATTTGCCTGAGGAATTGATCCCAACTGCAACGTTCAATTTTCTATCCTCCTATTGATGGCGAGAGCTACCAAATCCACCCCTTTGTGTCCTCCCTCCATCTCTCTTTTCTTTCTGTCTCTCCTCTATAAATACCCATGTAGCCTATCTAAGCTCTCTCATCATAGAAACTATTGAAAATGGCAAAGTCTTTGAGCTTTATTTTGGTTCTTTCTCTTCTTTTCCTTGTTCCTCTTTGTTTCTCCAATGAGACTCATGGAGACTGCCTCTACCCACAATTTTATGACCATTCTTGCCCCAAAGCAAAAGAGATTGTAAAATCCATAGTGGCTAAAGCTATAGCAAAAGAAGCACGTACGGGTGCTTCACTAATTAGGTTGCATTTCCATGATTGTTTTGTCAAGGTCTTTCACTTTGCCAAAGAAACTTTCCTCTTTTTTATTAGCAACACAAGCAGTATATTGACTTAACCAATGTTGTTGTTGTAGGGATGTGATGCATCATTACTGTTAGACAGCAGTGGGACTATAATCAGTGAGAAGGGATCAAACCCCAACAGGAACTCTGCTCGAAAATTCGAAGTCATTGATGAGATCAAAGCTGCATTAGAGAAGGAGTGCCCTCGGACGGTGTCTTGTGCTGATATCCTGGCCTTGGCTGCTAGAGATTCTACCGTTCTTGTAAGTGTATAGTACATATTTAACAATAATGGCCGTATTAGAATTTGGCATTTCCAGAGCTGATCATTTCTTTTGTTTGCACAGACAGGCGGACCTAGCTGGGAAGTCCCTCTGGGAAGAAGAGACGCCAGAAGTGCAAGCTTGAGTGGCTCCAACAACGATATTCCTGCTCCAAACAACACGTTTCAGACAATTCTTACCAAGTTCAAGCGCCAAGGTCTTGATATAGTTGATCTTGTTGCCCTGTCTGGTAAGATTAATGAATTACTTGACTAAATCAATTTCAACTTAAGGTTTCTGCAAGAAACATGTTCTTACTTTTTTTTCTTTTTTTTTTTTTTAATTTTTATGATGCAGGGAGTCACACCATTGGAAATGCGAGATGCACCAGCTTCAGGCAGAGGCTCTACAACCAGACTGGAAATGGAAAGCCTGACAACACTCTGGATCCAGCATATGCTGCCCAACTGCGCACCAGATGCCCACAATCCGGTGGCGACCAGAACCTGTTCTTCTTGGACTATGTTAGCCCAACCAAGTTTGATAATAACTACTTCAAGAACATCTTGGCTTTCAAGGGCTTGTTGAATTCTGATGAAATTCTATTGACCAGAAATGAAGAGTCAAAGGAGTTGGTTGAGAAATATGCTAAGGACCAGGGTCTTTTCTTCCAGCAATTTGCCAAGTCCATGGTCAAGATGGGAAATATCTCTCCCCTGACAGGTATTAGGGGTGAGATTAGAAAGAACTGCAGGAGAATCAATGCTTAACTTAAAAGGAGATGCAAATGACAGAAGTAATTATCCTGCAGGATGTATTGTCGTTTTTAGTTTCCTGTTTTCTGTTTCTAGCTTTGATGTTCTGGACGTGGAAATTGTTGAATTCAGTTCTTAAGGTGGTGTTTATCGAATTTTGAATAATAATTGTATGATTTACTTGATATGAAGGTCTCTTGCATATCCATAATGTAATGGAATTTCACACTTTTCAAGGTGAAAAAGGTCATTTACCATTTTGCTCAAATAAAAGATTCAGACATAACATAATCAATATTATTCTAGACTCTGAGCAAAATACATCCTATGCCCAAAATTTCAGTCTAGAGTCCGTTGTCTCATAAAGCAAACTACTCTTTCAGAACAGAGAAAGGACATAATCTAACAACCTAGTGTTGTATTTAAGGGATCCAACATCATCTACAAGCATGGGAGCCATATTGAGAAAGATCAGTACAGATTCTGAATCACTGAGCAATGAGTACAGAGCTCAATTATGGCCTGTGCATTCTCAACTCTCTCTCTGATCCCTCTTGACTCAGCCTGTGTAGCCTCCAGCTTCTCCTGTTCTAAAACAGCCTCTAGTTTAATTTTCTGCACTGCAGATTCACATTCTAATATCTTAGCTTTGTATTCTAGTATCTTGCTCTCATACTCTAGTATTGCAGACTTGTACCATTTCAGTGCCCTTTTTGATTCTTGAATGGATTTACATTTTTCAGCCTTCTTCTCCTTCAAACTTTCATAAACCTGGATCACCCCCTTTGCCTCCAAAATATCTTCCAACCTTTTTTTAAGCCAGCCAACATCCAGTTTAAATCCCTCAAGAGCTTTTATCCATGTCAAGATGTTCTCAATTTCAACTTTTGTGACATCGGAGAATTTCTTGTGTTCCAGCTCTTGCATTATGTCACAGAGTTTCTCTAACAACAAAGATCGGCTTTCGACTGTTGTGATAGTGCAATCACCGGCTATATCGCCATGCTTCTGAAGAATACCATTAAGAATTTGAGCTGTTGCTTCTTTCACTCTGTATCCCAAAACTGGGACCAAGGCAGATTTAAAAGCTGAAGATTCCACCTCTTCACCAGCAGCAGCATCAGCAAACGTGTTGACAATTTCTGTTAGGCCAAGATTGTGAGATTGGCTGAGACCCTCATCGCCCTCATCAATTGTGTGAGAATTGCCAAAGTTATCTCTGGGCCATTTCTCAAAAACACTGGTTTCCACTACAGCTTCCTCCCTGGATAGCTGTTCACTTGAGATAATGTTAGGAGCAGTGGCATCGGCAGCAGCCACATTAACTCCCTTTACAGGTACCTACAACAAATATGTTTCATAAAAATAGTATTAATATGGAATATAGCAGATTAGAAAACAGAACACAACATGATAGAAGACAGCAGATCTTATTTCATGGTAGAAATATGACCTACTGAACTACATTGCAGATTTTAATCATGCATATGGATAAACAATCTTACCCACACAAGTATGTTGTCAACTAGAGCGCAAAGATCTATCGTGGTAGGAGAACTTGACTGCTGGTCAGATTGCTGAATATCCTGTATGTCTTCAGCTGTTGGAATTGATTTTTTGATTGATTTTCCCAGCTTTTTAATAGTGATGTTTGTTGTTGCTTCAGACCTCTTTGCAGATTTCCATGATCTAAGACGAAGTCTGCTGTTACTCAGACTTATAGCATTTGAGGAAGAGGGTGGAGATTCCAAATTTTTTACCTGCAAAATTGACAACAGAATAAGACAGATATATGAACCTAGCAGTTCAGCTCTGCCTTCCAATGCAAATCACGACATGCACCCAGAAAAGCTTCTGAACATTTTCCAACAATTTAATGCAATTAAGGCACAGTTAAGCATTTCTCTTGTGATTTCCATTCCTCTTATGCTTAATCAATTAGATAACCTTTTATACAAAATGGTACCCACCTCACAATAAGTTTCCACTTCATGCAAACAGCTTGAAATCAGTAACAGTTTATATAGTTAATGATCTCATCAAGCACATAGATTATCCTTAAAAGCCTCAGCTTTATAACAAAAACCCTCAATTAGGGTTCTGCTTAGCTGCCTAGAACATAGTCAAAGGTGAAAAAGATGCAAGCTTTTAACTGAAAATCTTCCCTTTAACCAATTTCAAGCTACCATCCTAGAAGAAAATCCAAAAAAAAAAAACACACACACACACAAAAATGTCCATCTGAAAACTTACAGCAAGAAACGCCATGGAAATCAAAGGAAGATCAATTTTGTTTCCATTTTCCCAAACCCCAGAAACTTCCTTACAAGCAAAATGAAAGTAAGCTTTCATAAAAAAGGAAAAAGTTACCTCCTTTTTCAAGCTCTAATGCTAAACACATTGCAAAATAGTAGTCTGATACAGAAGGAAATAGTTTGTGAATTACCGGGGTTGAAGGGTTAGCCATCGCTTTGGCTTGAGTCCGGGTAAATGGCCTCCGATTGACTTGGTTCACACCTCCTTTTCCCTTTCCCTTGCCCTTTCCTTCCGTCCCCATTGCTATGCTAGTACTGTGATGCTTTGGAGATGCCCTCACTCTTTCTTCACTTCTTACTCTCCCCTTGAAGAAAGAAGCAGATTTAGAGTCTCATCAATTCTCTGTCACATTCTCAGAGTGTCACCTTGCATGGTGCACTTTCCCATTTGCTGCAAGTCTGTACACTTGTGAGCACAGTATTGGACTGTATCTTCTGGGCTGGGCCCATCTATTGGGCTTGTAGCCCACAGATCTCAAACCCACCATCTCTGACTACAGGGCTTATATGCCTACAAGAACTAAAAACTTAAAATGTCTGCTGTCAGTCTTCTCTCTGTAGCTCAATGCTTCTCCGTGGTTTCTCTGAGCTAAAATAAGCAAATCCTCCAAGAAGGTATTCAAAATGAGGCATTTGCGATTCATTTGCTCTCATTTGTCTCGTATCAACAGAACCCATCATCAAAGTTCTCGCCTTTTGCGCTCTTTCCAATTGGTGAATGAGTTTGATCCTAGTCTTACCCGAGCATACTCCACTGCGCAAGAACCCAGACAAGCCGCCTCTGAGAAAGTCACCACAATCGTCGATGAACTCACCGGGTTGACTCTTCTTGAGGTCATGGACCTAACGGAAGTGCTACGGAAGAAGATGGATATCAACGAGATGCCGACTATGGCTGTGATGATGCCGGGGATGGGATTTGGTGGGGCTATGAAGGGTGCCGGGAAAGGCGGGGCTGGTGGGCCTGGGAAGGGGGAGGAAAAGAAGGAGGAGAAGATGGTATTTGACGTGAAGCTTGAGGGATTTGATGCGGCGGCGAAGATAAAGGTTATAAAGGAAGTGAGGGCATTTACGGATTTGGGGTTGAAGGAGGCTAAAGATTTGGTGGAGAAGGCGCCCACGTTGTTGAAGAAAGGGGTCACCAAGGATGAGGCTGAGAAGATTATAGCAAAGATGAAGGAAGTGGGAGCTAAAGTCACAATGGAATAAGGTAGGGAAGTTCCTTTCTTCCTTTCCTTTTGCTTTCCCTCTTTGTTTGGTTAATGTGGTTTTAATTGCTATTCTGTTTTGAATTTTTGATATTGGTTCTATCAACCACTTGTAGCAATATGGTTGTGTGATGTTTACTCACAGCTTCATTCAAGTAAATTTTTAGGCTTTAGAGCTAGAAGGTTTAGAAAATTTTGGAAGAAAATAATTACCAGAATTTTGTATCACCTGCGATCATATACTTATTCTGCATTGATATGAATTGCAAAATTTACCATGGTGAGAGACCCGATTTGACTTCCACACCTTGAATATATAGTTACGAGGGGTTTTTGGTCTGTGAAGTGGTGTGTCTATTTACCTGTTAAATTCTTGATTCTTTGAGAATTTTTAACATATATGCTAGAATGATAAGGAGTAAATACTTGAATACTTGAGAGTCTTGCAGCTGCTACTCTCTCTATTATAGAGAAGTTCTGAGTGGACAGGGTACCATACCAATTTCCATGGATATTAAATATGTACTTTGTTGAAGATATATTTTGTCTATTATAGGAATCATTTTATCATGTATCAAGGTCTGAAGATATCCAACATGTACTTTGTTGTTTGCATAAACTCTATGTAACGAGACTCAAAAAAAAAAAGAAAAAATCTCTATGCAAAGGATTATAAAATATAAGTGGTAGATTTTGAATTGCTTTAGAGGAGGAAGAGAGGTGAGCAATAGTGGACATGGAACTTTATGGCAGTATCTTGATTGGATTAGTGTCATACCACCTGTAAATCATCATAAATTATAACAATTAAGTTTCAATAAATGATGTTGATTAGTGAATTCAGGTTATCTTACTTACTAGGCTTGTTTTCTAAGTCCTAACCTAATTCACTAGAGAGAGAGGAAAGGTGGATGAGGGAGATTTAAGGGGACTTTGCTGGTACTTTGTTGATGGTCCATGTGCAAGTTAAAAGAATGCAAGCTTGCATAGATGGTGGATGTCAAGCTTTTCCATGCAGTTAAGTTTGAGCTTGGTCAGTGAGTGGTAGAGAAAAGTCTTTTGTTTGTTCATTAGAAAATTATGTAGAACACAAAAACAATCCAAATATTAAATAGAAGCAAATATGCTAAATGCAACATAAAATAAATTTTCGTGTTCCCTAAATGATCTCTTCTTTTTTGGTCTCTCCCAAACATGATCATAAAGTAGCTATTTTGCTACGTTTTTTTGCTAATTGGTAATGAGCTTTGCCTATGAGCGTGTGCAGATAGAGTTGTTCCAGCCTGGTTCAGACCTTCAGTTAATAGACAAGCCTAATTAAGTTTGAGTTCATTTGTTAACTGCTAGCAGGGCTACTAGCAAATTTCTTTTGCATGCTGCTCACTGTGACATAACTTTTGATATACTAAGAAATGTATGCGCTCTCTCAATGCCATCACTTGATTTGTCTGTTTTGGGAATGGGGCTTAAGAAAGGGTAATCACCATTAGGGGAAAAGCTTTGAGAACCTCAAATTGCAATTTCAGTGCCTGATTCAGTTTGCCTTTTGGCTTTGTTAGACTCTCTATTGATGAAGATGACGAGGAGCAAGAAGTGCAAGGTTTTATGGTGTCACCGTCTAAAAATGCAGCGTAGCTACAATTAATGTTCCGTGCCGGGACAATTCGAAATTGACAAAGATCATTTTAAAGATTCTTCATAAAGCAGAACATTCTTTTTGGTGAAAACTGGTATTGTAGCATGTTTGGGCCTTTATCACGTCATTTTCTTGAGCAATTTTGCCTTTCTATGTCTTGATAACATATCTTGTAGTTGTAGAACTGAATTCTGAATCTCTGATGATAGGGATCATTTTTGTAAAGAACCCATAAACAAAATAAACATAAACCTAGTGGGTTTTCACCCTTATGAATGAGGTTTTCCATACAACTGTTATATTGATAATGACATGTTAACTAACCATCTATTCAATTAAGTGAAAAGAATATAATTCTCTTTAAATAAAATCTTGAATTCAAATTTTATAAATAAAAAAATAAACATCGAAAGAAAGTCTCTCTTTGCAACTCAATTTTAACTCAATTATGAAGTAATCAAGATTTAATCTTACTTTTGAATAACCAAGTATCAAAAATGGTTTGATACGTCATAGAAAGTGTTAATTTGACACCCCATCAAAAAGTTGCATTCACACTCCTGCAAACGGCTAAGTGGTACCCCTCTAATCAAATTTACTTATCTAACATCTAGATAACATTTGACCAAATAATTTTATATAAGAAATAAATAACAATTAAATTTTTTTTTCTTTTTATTCGTATTTTTTAGGTATTTTTATTTATATTAAAAAATTTTAATTATCGTTTACTTACCATATAAAATTATTAAGTTAATTTAGATAAAGTTGAGCGACTGGAACATCTACAAAGGACATGGAATTTTGTGGGACATCCGGACATGAATGCAGCACATACTACATGAATAACATCTTTAACACTACTTGATTACATCATGATAGATTAAGGATCTGCCAAATTTAAACAGAAATTTTGGAAATAGATTCCATAAGATGGTCTCTTTTTAAGGTGCTTATAAGGCACCGAGCTTCTCTTGCACGGTTTATGCAGCAAAGAGCCAAGTAAGTTTGTTCCTTACAAGATGGTAGAACCAGAAAAGAGTTCTTCCTCTACAAATACCAGGCATATGCATTTAAAGGAGTTAATAAGCATTTAGCTCGGCTCAGGAAAATGCTTTGTTCTCCTCTTTGTTTCCATTTGTCCTTTAAGAAAGGAAGCTATCTATTAGCTAACTTACAATTGGTGCAATGAGATGAGATGCAATGCTGATTAAACTTTATCATCATGGAACCACCACCTGGTCTCCTTTGGAGATCGGCCATTTCTACAGTTCTTTACATAGCGGTCATTGTCTTCAGGACGTTCCTGCAAGAAAGGCCAAAGAACCTCAACATGAGTAGCTGATTTTAAGGAAGCAAAAGATCTTAAAATAACAATTCCCTACAATCTGTGATATTATCATCCAATTTCAAATCATTTAAGGTACAAAATATCTGCCACAGCATATTACGCCCACTGCCCTATTCGAACAATTAGTGAAATTGCCCTCATAAGTAGTCTAGTAGGTGCCCATGGCAGACAAAACCAAGTTGACTTGAGAACAGAAGTATATCAAAATGCCTGAAAATCCAACAAAAAAAAAAAAATTCATACCTTCACGGTTGAGCTTGACAGCATGGAGAGAATGCTGATACAGATAGAACTAACTGTCATGGCAGGGGACCATGAATCGTACAAGATATCTACAAAATTCAATGAGACAATAATATATCACAAGTCTGTTTTGCTTCAAGCCTAGGCAAAGCATAAATGAAAAAGGGAAAAAAAATGAACAAATTAATTTCAATCTCACATCACAAAGTACTTATGTACATACGGTTTACTCCAATGGTTGTCCAGAATGGGGACAGCACAAGCAAATATCAGCAATTATGCACCAAAGTTGGAAAAAATGTGGGGCAGGCTTAGTAAACAGAAAACAACATTATCCTCAGTTCATTTCCCAAGTTATTGTCATCCATTTCGTTCAATTGAAGAAACCACTTCAAGTCTTCAAAACATTGTAAAGAGTGACCAAAAAATTTTATAACAACAAATTTAACGTGCTATACAACTAGCATTCTTAATAAAAACAACAGCTAAGTGAATTTGGTGCAGAGTTCCTGTAACAGCTTATAATTTATTAAGAATAAAATAGTAGGAAATTAACTGAAAGAGATATTACAACAGAATATAGTTCCTCTGAAACTGACCATCCTCCCTTATACATAATATACTTGCTCCTACGTTCTAACATTTTCTTATCAAAATTTCAGTATATAAGTTTAGAGTCTGGGCATTTTTTGACAAACAGTCATAATAAATAGGGATGCTATTAAAGGCAATCCTAAGACCTGAAACTGTTTAAGTGGGATGTTGTAATATGGTTCTGCTGCGTAAAATAATTCACCAGAAACAGAAACTAACACAAGACGTAGAAGAGACAACAAAAATATAACAAGCTAAAGATAGAGCTAATAAAGCAAAACAACAAAACGACAAGGTAAAACACATAAATACAAATAACATGTCACAAACCTCATATTAAAGGGGAAAAAAATACATGTAAGAACATAAATGGAAATAACTTTAAAAAACAAGAAAAGCAAAGAAATCAATGCTTGGGGGTAGGGGCAACCACTGGACCACTGAGACAAGTGATTAAAGTTGACAAGAAAGCTACAAGATAAATCAGAATACAAAGAAGGCAAGAATGAAATACCATGTTTCAGAACCTCAAGAAATAATTTGCCATTAACAATACAACCTCAGTTGAGAATAAATTAACTCTAACCGAAGACAACTTTTACAATGCCTAAGCAAGATGGCGAGTTACCTAAACAAATATGTCCATTGCTATAAATATGAGGGTGCGAAGGTGCTGGATGAAGAAATATAACCTGTGAATGCAACACCATGATCAAGACCACAATTACAAATACAACATAGAAAATCACAATGACGACAATTTAGAGCATGTTAGGTTTCTTCCAACCTGGGGGGATTCCATCGGGTAATTCTCGGGGAAATCAACCTGAAGCTGGTAAGTTTCATTTGCATATAGAGTTCCAGGAGCTCCATTTACTTCAATGACCCACCTACCGACCAGAAATATTAAAAATTTAGCGCAAATAATATCCTTAAAGGAATATGGAGGAACTAATTGAAGACAAACATAACAAAAACCTCTAAAATTGATAAAACCAACATAAATATCCTAACATTTTCCATTTTCATTCATCTTGAAAAATTCAGAAACACAAGATCCAAAATTTCTCTCTCCTATTCTTCTTTTCTTCCCGGAAAACAAACAGAAAAAAGAAAAAGGCAGTATCTGAGAGACTCGAAAAAAATCTACCTCTGAAGATTATCGGTAACTCGGTGTTTGAAACCGGCGGGAGGGTTGACCTGCCACTCTACCAGCTCCTTCTGGAGGCGATTGCAAGCAATCTTACTCAGCGCCTAAAAGCATCAGAATTCCATAATTTCAACACAGAATACACCAA